ACCTGACAAAAATGCATTTATTTATTCAAACAGACTAAAGTCAAGAAAGACCACTTTCAGACCTTGATTCGAGACTTGATGCTTTTAAACTTGAAGGATCTTCTGGGCAGCTCCGACAGATGAAAGGTGTTGGTTGGTTTCTGAGTTGCCAGATCAGGACTGTGCACCTCAACCACATGACCGCTCTGACACAGGATGACCAGATTGTTATCGTTCTGTATAAAAAAAGTACAAAAAACAACGTTATGCAAATCTATCACAGAGACCCTTCACATTCACAGCAGCGATGATTAAACACTGAGCTTACGTGAGAATGCGGTGACCACTCCAGCGCCTGTACCGGCCCAGGGACGTGGATAAAACCGATGGGGTTGTAGTTCTCTCCAACAGTGAAGAAGAACACAGTGCAGTCAGCACTCTGAGGAGAAAGATCAGAATAAGAAGAGATATCAGAAAGATACAACAAACACCAAAACTAACCTTAAACTGATAAAGTGTCTACAGAAACTTTACAAACTTCACCTCTAGCTAACTTAGCTCTAGCTGAACTTTTAATGGGTGGAAATTCCTTCTTGCCAAAGCCAATGAATGCTGACAAAACCTAGCTTTGTGTAGCAGATGAATTTAGCCTATCTGAAGAAGCCTTGTTACTGGTACTCCATATTATATGCTTCCACAGTAGTAAACTAGAAAACCGCTTACCCCTGTGGCCAGGATCTCTCCATTTCGTTCATATGCCACAGCTGTAACAGCAGCATCATGTGGTTTGAAGGGCTGTCTAAGGCGCAGCTCGGCATCTCCTTCGGGGCTCTGTCCTGTGATAGTTTGAAGCCTCTGAGGGTTGTACAGCTCCAGCAAGCGTACTACTCCATTCTCAAAGCCGGTCACCAGTAAACCTCCACTCTGGCTCACCTTAAAGCCAACACCGGAGCCATTGTTGAGCCTTTTGAGTCACACTGGAAGAAGAATTCTGTTTTCACTGACACACTCACCTTAGCTGGAGCCCAGCATAGAGCAGTTCCTCCCTGATTAAAGCGTCTGGTGGTCAGTTCTCGTTTTGCCAGGAAGTCAAAAACTTTGACAGAGCCTGGATGGCATGGACAAAATAGCAGCTCTTACAGAGTTTGTATGTGTTTTCACATATATAGTATATTTATATAAACTATATATCTATAGTATTAGCTCTTGAGAACAGGCATGTGTGATTTTGGTGATTTTTCTCATATCTACTGACATGAAAGTGGTTCCAAATCTGGGCCCAATAGCTTTGGGGTGTGGCGACAGTTTAAGTGTAACAGCATTTTTCTTTGAAATGCATGGAACTGCTAGTGGTTGATTGGCCACTAGCACTGAATCAATGGAAAAGGAGAGCATGGTACAGGTATGTAAGCACACATGGACTCACAGTCCAGAGTGGTTGTTGCCATCAGGTGGGATTTCTTTGATACGTCCAGGCCTTGAATCATCCCACCATGGAACGAAAACAGGCACTCTGGATCAGGACTCTGCACACAAAAGACTTTATTACACAGGCCGGAACCTGCATACTGTATTATGACACACAGTGGTTTAATGAAGTTCCTATGAAGAACGGAGAATATAACATTTTGGTCTTTATCAGTTACAATCCATCCATTTAGAAATGTCTGCACTGTTACTTGTTCATTCAAATCCCCAGTAAACAAATTGCTGCATTTACATAGCTTCTCCATAGAAACAAAAGATGCAGGAAACTTACTGTGTTGGTGAATGAAAGGTCCAGTTTCCAGATGGCTCCATTAGAATCCTACAAGTTCACACAGGAGAGAGATCAGGACCGAGGTGAGTGTGGATCATGTGTTATGGTTTCCAAGTGCAAACCTTTTTTTCTGACCTGGGCAAACCAAACGAAGGAGTGAGGCAGGGAGCTCCCCCTCACCACAGAGGAGAGGCACACATTGCGTCCGACCACCAGCTCATTATTAGGCTCCATCTCAAATCTACTGCCGTCGCTGTTACTGTCAGCTGTGTTGATCCTCTCAAAGTCCCAAACCTGATGGGAAAATTTTACTTTTGCTATTCACACATTGATACAATTTTACAACTAGAAAGAAAAAAAGAATGGTATTGATAAAAATGGTCATGGTGAAAGTATTACAGAAAATTGGTTGTACTGTAAGCACCAGGATTATCTTAAAAGAGAATGTCAGCATTTTTTTAAATAACTGCTTGAGATGATCTCAATAAATCCATCTACTCAAATCCACGCTCAACACAAATTCCAGTTTCTTTAAGAGAAAGAGAAAGTGCCTCGATATTTCTACTCTAGCCCTTAATTAAAAAATGTATGCTTGTCCAATAAAGTACTAATAATTAACAATAATGTATTTTAATCCACTAGGGCAATAGTCCCCAACATAGTTTCCAAAAGAATAATTATTTCCTCCTTCTTCAGAAAAAGTTCATTATTAATTGTACCAAATTGACTTGCAGTGGCAGTAGCCTTGGTGGAACAAGCTGAAGGACAAGAAGTATCTGCTGGCAGTTGCTACTGTTCACACCCAGGGGACACATGGCCATGCTCTGACAGGTCAAATGTTTTTGTTTTTGGCAAAGTAAGGGGACTCTATGGTTTAATGTTGTAATTGGTGTAGCAAGGATCTTACCCTGACAACACCATCAGAGCCAATCGTCATCAGCTGTCCATCTTCTAGGGAAAACGGCTGGACCGTCCCTGCATGACAGGTCCGGCCATCATTACGGCAAATCTCCACCTTGATGGTGTTCCCATCCCACACCAGCAAATTGCCCCAATCTGTTCCTGACAACACCTAAAAGGAAAAGATGAAGTGAAATATTAATTCTCTTGTACAGAGCCGATCTCGCAAAAGTTCATCTTCATTTTTTTGCTCCAATGTCCCTTGCAAGGCTCCATACTCTTGACTAAAACATGAAGTGGTATGTAAATACTTCTTTCTGAGCGTCACTGACCTCTCAAAGGACTTTAGACTAAAAACTACATTTACCCATACGTTCACACGGAGCTTTATTTCATGCACTTGTATAATTCAATCTACCTCTTATCTACAGTTAATAACAAATCACCTGTTCACTTTAATTTACACATGTAATCAATACTATAGTTGTAAAAAAGTAAAATTCTTGCTTTTTATCTGGAGACTTCACTCGATGATGTGTGGCCAGTTTCAATTTAAATGGACTAATGGGAAATTAAGAGGCTCTCTTGGAGGTAGCCTCTGACTCTCGAGTACAGACCTTTCCATCAGGAAGTTCCACGTAGCCCTCGATATCAGTTGGTACAGTTTTCCCAAAATGTCCTATAAGTCCTTGTAATTTAGGACCTGTGAATGTGTTTGCCATTTTCCAAAACCTAAGAGAGAGAGAAAGAAAACAAAATCATTCGATATTGCAAAAGAGTAAAAACCTCAACTCTGCAGTCATTTCTGACTGCAGAGTTATTTTTTGTTATTCTGACCCCAGAGTTTACCACAATATCCTCTGCATAAAACAAGAAACTAACTCAAAGTTGTTTTTGCAACATTTTCAGAGGACTATACTTTGACTTTACTTGATGTGCCCAAATCCAGACGTTGTGAGGATTCCTGGGTTATATGGGGAAAAGCTGACTCGATAGACCTCCTGTGAAATGGCCTTGCAGCTCAGTATCACCTCCTCCTGCCTCCAGTCCCACAGTGTCAGCGTGTAGTCAGGTTCACTCCCCACACTGGCCAGTATGCTTCCTTTGTGGTTAAACTCCACAAAACTGTACTCCCGCTCAGTACCACCTACAGACATGCAGGTTAAATCAAGAGCATCAAATAACATTAAGATAATAACTGCAAAATGAATCCAATTTACCTCTGAGGATGCGGTAAGGTCCCAATGAAGGATATTCATAGACTATGATGTTGGGCTGTTTTCCCTTCTCTGCTACAACAAAGTACTCTTTGCCAGGGTGGGCCTTTAACCACACACACACACACATGTCTGAGAAAATCCAGTCATCAAGTGATTAATTATGCAACTGGACCAAATGCATTTTATAATAAGGGATTGTAAATCTTCCTGTAAATACTGCATTAAAACAATTGAGGTATTAATTGTATGTACCTCAATCATTTCTGCTTGAAAACTGTAGTTGCATAAATGTACACTTCTGCAGGAAATCTTTGGAGTGCCTACGATATAACTCACATAAGCAGCCGACCAGGTTGCTGGCATTTATTCTGGAGTTTTACATTTGATGCTAGCCGCACTGTTAAATTATAAAACTACAGCAGAAACGTTGCTGGAAATGCATAGGAGGATTTTGCGGTAGTAGACAGGCCAATCATATTAGTTGCGGGCTGAGTCAACATGATGTGTAGTTACATTTCTAGAGAGGTGCATACTGGGTTACACCGAGGGCTTTCAGAGGAATTTGGGGTTACGATGTAGTTGTGCCGTAGATTTCCCACTAAAGCTTAAATCCCCAGTAGCATTATTTAACTCCTCAATGTGCCTGCTGTCAGTCACAGAGATTGCAGATTCCGTGGGACAGTTCACTTGCATGATGAGTAATTTCCCCTTACCGTGATTGCTCCAATTCCCCCTCCACTGCAGGAGCGCAGGTATCTCTGCTCCTTGGTGTTCACATCGAGCAGGACGAGCATGTTCCCCGCTATAAAAATCAGAGTTCTGTCATCCAGCAGCTTCAGGTTTGCCCTGCGTCCACAGTCATAGCCAAAGGAGTGACTGATTGCATCATTAATTAAGGATATCAAAGTTAAAATTCACATCAGTGTTATAGAAAAATGTTTTTTAGCAAAAGTCCCATGAAAATGACAACTGCTTTTTTATAATAATGTATAAATATACTAATATCTCTGGCCCACATACTGTTTATACATAATATTACTTTAGAAGCATTAGTATTAGCAGAAAAATATATGACACATACCATAAGATAATGGCACTATAATGCTACTGTATTAAACAATATTACTGCTTAGTCTATACTACATATTACTTACAATATACACAACGCATGTTTAAATGTACAGTATATTATACTGAGCATTCATACTTACACATACACTTATATAATACAAGCTAAACATATAATGGCTGCAAACATCAGCACGATATAGAGTTAGGTAGTGTTTATAACATATTTAAATAAAATCGTGGGGTGTTTACCTTACAATATAAAGTGCCTTGAGGCAACTGTTGTTGTGATTTGCTGCTGTATAAATAAAACTTAATTGAATTGAATACATAAAAGCTGAAGTTAAAAACTACTCAAAATAAACTATGTGCACTATTCTTATAATGGAAGGTGTAAAAATATTTTTCAGCAAAGGATACGAGAGATGCAGGAGGTTCTCTGGGATTTCAGAATCGGGTGTGATGTACGGTCTGGAGTGAAGCTCTTCATATTTGTAGTACATGTCTGCAGGGAGTTGCTTTTTTGATTGGCTCCCAGCCTCCTGCTGCATTGCTGAGTGCCTGGTATCACATTCTGCGAGGAAGGAAAGATGTGAAAACCGTTTTTAGTCACTGGTGACTTGTACCATTTAATTAACTTTATTTTTCCAGCATTTTAGCACTCATAACTTAGGAACTACAGGGGACAGCCACATTTTTTAGTGCTTAATCACATTTATGTATCAATTTTACACCCACTCCAAGTGTAACAATCTACAGCCAAGGAAAGGAGGAAAGGTCGACCTTTCCTCCAGGACACTGTCTTCACAACTTATTTTCTAATTCAACCTAGGACCTTCTTGCTTTAAAGTGATAGTGCTACCACCTCACCACGCAAACTTTACACTAAAGGGAAAACACCGATATCGGGTATTGTGAAATGGTTTTTAGTGAAACGGGGTTTTACGTGGTGCATGACATAAAATGATCAGCAAACTACAATAACAACTAAGTATCTAAAACTGATTGGCTTTAGCTTGGTACATTCATGAGAATACATGCTTTATTTACCCCAAGGTTTTGGCTACATTAGCCAAAACTACTTAACACAACCTAGAACAAAGCTTAAATAGGTAGAATGAGGACATTGCAATGTACAATAAAATTCAAAATCAAAATAAATGTCTCAATAAAGTAAAAAGAGAAAATTAGAACAAAAAAACAACATTTTAAGTTTAAAATGTAAATTTAAAATATGAAATAAATTAATAATAAATAATAATGGATTTTCATTCATTAAAAGTTGAAATAAAGCGGGTTAATAAAGTAAATTAAAATAGCTGACATTAAAAAAAAAAACAATTATTAATTAAACTTGGGGGAAAAATAGCATTAAACTGCCTGACCTTCATGTGAAGATGTCCGTGTGCTTTCAGTCTGTTCACTAACAAAAGTCCCGTTTTCTCCCAACATTTTCTGTTTGTTACCTGCTCTGTGAGACACACACAGACAGTCTATTATTCAAAGGTATTTATAGCTTGAAATGAAGGAAGTTAAACTTTAGAATATGATAATACACAATGCCACCAGATGGATTTAAAGTCCTATCTTCTGGATATGGCTCCGTAAAGTCTGTTGCTACGTTGCCGGGCAACGGGGAAAATCAGTGAGTTGCAAAGCCTTGTGGGTTATGTAGTTCTCAACCGTTGTCTTGCGTTTGGAGCGTAATGGGTCGTAATTTTAAAGAAAATGACATAATTTTTACAAACATGATTAACTTTAATATTGGATTAAACTAACTTGATTTTTAAGGAATTTTAAAGAATGTCTATTTCTAATTCACATCGATGTAACCACAGTAACGAGGTCTGCCCTTTTAAATGACAGTCTGTAAACAAACATGGCCGCGTTATAGTGGCTCGGAGCCCCACAAATCGAAAGAAAGAAGTTCACTTTTTGTTGGTACACTTTGGGACTGCACAACCACTCAAAGTGTTAAATATTGGGAGCTGAAACGAATAAATCTATCGGTGCGGCGTTTTTGGGCGATAATGAATTGTCGCAACAACCAACGTTTTACGGCAGTGGAGTTTCAGTTTGATTGGACGCTTTGTGCCGTAAACAGTGTCGGTTAAAGAACACATGGGACGGAGCTGAGGTAGCGTGTACATCTGAAATGTGAGTTAACTGCTCGAAAAAATCACGTTTACGTCGTTATGTTATAACAAAATGCTATTTTTATTTGCGCAATAGCAGTTGCCAACTTGTATTATATATGTTATTAGCTAAGTAGCTTGGGTAAAAGCACCAGAAGCGCTTTATGGATCGAAAACACATTTCGACTGATGGAAAAGTGGTTTATTAATATTAAAATTTAAGCAGAGTTTCGTCATTAACAGGTTCTAGATTAACGCCTTAATTTACAAAGTGAGGAATCAAATAGTTGGCAGAGCCAGTAAGTGTATAGCAGGGAAAGCTCCCATCTGAAAGTCTTCTAAAATCCACATGAATCTACTTCTGGTGTCCTAAATGTGAGACTTGGAGATGGTTTTGAAAAAACTGTGTTCTTGTCTCAGAAGCTCGGCTTTCTGTTTATTTTTATTCTAAAGCTAAAAGCCTAGGTCAGTGTTTCTAAAGCTAAAATTGGACCACCCAGTTGCAATCACAGAACCAGTCTTCGTGATTCCAGTTCGTACAGTCTGTTAGTATCACCAGCTGTAGTGCTGCTTCTCCTGTAGATCACAGCAAAGTACACTGTACTTGCAGTAACTGATGGATAGAAAATCTCATCATCACTTTGCAGCACACAGCGAAGGATTGTGGTGCCTGCTAAGCCTCTTGTTGTATACAGCCCGAGTGTGACAGCATGAGCGGTCACTCAGGGGTTTGATGAGTATGAAAGAGATATTGATCATATGCTACACTCTCCATAACCAACAAATTTCAACCCAAATAACCGCTTGTGGAAGATTGGCGTTCCATCCTTTCTTTCTTTCTTTCTTTCTTTCTTTTTTACTTTAATCTGCGTGTATGTGACATGTTAATCTTCCTACTCTTGTCTCACTTTGTCTCTCAGACAGACATTAGGATGGAAACTCAATCAAAAAAAACCTTTTCTCCTAAAAATGGGAAGAAGTTCATGCAGAAAGGAAAAGGTAAAGCATCTTTTACAACAACGCTTCCAAGCTTCATCACACCAAACCAGTTTTGTGATTGCTGTGTCTCATTTTGCCCAGATTCCACAGGGACCAAATTTGGTGGAAAACCGGGCAGCAAAAAGCCCTTCAAACAGTACAACAATGCAGAGAGGAAGAGCCGACCGGGGAAGGGCCGGGATGGCGGCAAGAAACAAACAAAGTTTTCTTTCTCTAAAGGAGGGAAGAGGAAACTGACAGGTGCTAAAGATGAAGGAGGAGAGGGTGAAGGTGAGGAAGTATCTGCTCTTCCCAGACCAAATCTGACACTGCCTGTAAACATTGGAGTTGGTTGTATATCATGGGCTGAACATAATTAACACACATACATTCTGCACATATACAGCACATGTTATCAGCGCACTGCTTGTTAGTTTTAGAGTAAAAATAAATAAATACATGAGACAGACTCTCTGTGCTACAGCGTGGACAGTCAGACTGCTGAAATGACACATTCTGCTCTAAATCACTGATTCTGTGTTTGGCTTCTCCTGAGAGCCTTTCTGTTAGAGGACAGTCTTCAAAAGCAAAAGTTGTATTTCCTCTTTTATGTGAGATCAGGTCCTGGGGCTAAGAAGGTGAAGAAGGATGGGTTTAAATCAAATGAGAAGCTCACAAAGGAGGAGCTGAAGAAGAACAGGCAACAGAGAAAGAAGGACCTGAAGAGGAGTCGACAGGAAGCTGAGAGGAAGGACATGTATGAGATCATCAATCAGTCCAAACATATGTGGGGAGACCTCAGGAGGTACATGTCCACACACACACACACACACTCACTCACAGGGTCGGAGACAAGGCCGTCATTTGTGTTGCTGCGGTCGGTTCAGTATTGGATGTTTGTGTTAACAGGAAGAACTGCGAGAAAGACCTGAAGAAGAAACGGCTGAGAGAGCTTCGTGATCTGATCCATGGAAAAGTCAAACAGGTTCGTCTGTTTGTTAGAAACTGCACATTTGGATTTTCTTTATTTTTAAACCTGTTTAATTTTTCTTTAAAATGAACCCATCCTCAAATGACCATATTATGAACATTCACTCTTGTTGACATCATACAGAGCCAAGAGTGGGGAAAAAACCTCCTGAAACCTAAGCATTTGGCTCACAGGGATTACGTGTACATACACTAGCCTAATCATATATGACGGAAAATAAGAACAAACAGGATAGGCTTCCAATAAGATGTACCTTTTTAAAATGTAGTTGTCTTAGGATTGTTCATCATGTCTGCAATTGACTCAGAAAGTAAAGAGGATTAAAAGTGGACACATGGATCATTAAACATCATAAAAACAGAGGAAAACAAGCAGTTTCTTGCATTTTATTTTAATTTTATGGAATAATTTGGATTGTTATGTGACCGTGCTTTCCTTCCTCCAGATGGCGTTTGCTCACGACGCCGTGCGAGTGCTGCAGTGCTACATTCAGTTCAGCAACCACGAGCAGAGGCAGGAAGTGTTTGAGGAGCTCAAAGGTGAGCATCATAGTTTCATCTACTGTCTTTGGAAGTGTTACAGTGTGCGTGTGAGTTTCCCCAAACTCTGAGCTTTTTCATCACCAGTTAATTCAGAGGTGACGTCTAGAAAATAACCCAAATACAGACAGAAAACTCAGAATGGGCTGTGGGCATTTAGCAGTTCTGGATTTTAATGTGACAGTGGATAGTTTTCCCTTTATTTTTTATTTTTTGTTTGTTTTAACTTTTTATTCTTGCACAGAAGAAGTTTTAGAAATGGCAAAGAGGCTTTTAGCAAGAAAGGGAAATCACAAATTAACCACACATGGTGCTTTAACCAGCCAGAATCTGAGAAAACCCTGGCGTGCATGAGTAATGTACGTTCATTTTTATGCTGGCATAAAAATTCAGCACACAGTCCAAAGACATATATTTAGCAGGGTTAGGTTAATTGCTGTTTCTAAATTGGCCATAGGTGTGAATGAGAGTGTGAATGGTTGTCTGTCTTTCTCTGTTAGCCCTGTGACAGACTGGTGAGCTGTCCAGGGTGTACCCATGCCTCTGGTGCCCGGGACAGGCTCCAGCCCTCCTGCAGCCCTGATAAGGATAAGCGGAAAAGGATGGATGAATGGGAAAAATGTCTTATATGTTTGAGTAAATGGGACTACAGACCAGCAAAACTGATTAAAAATATTAGAATTCTAGTGAGGTTCCTTTGGACCTTTTCAAAACGCATGCAGGAACGGCCCTGATAACTTTGCTGGTGACGAATGATTTTTGGGTCCAGTGGGTTTTCACTGCTACTTCCCTCCAGAAAATTTATATTTTTGTCGTTTTATCAAAACCAACAGAAATCTATCAGCGCCAAAGTCATATTTGTTGCTACTGAAACTAGCTTCTGCCGCTTTTTTCAAAACACCTCATCCACGGATTATGAATAGGCAGCACATTTTCCCTTTTACATCAAAATTCAATAAGAAAGATGTGAGTAGATATAAAAAGATCCGGTTATACGTCTGTGTCCTTGTTTTCTTTTAACAGATGACATCCTGAGTTTGAGCAAGTCACAGTACGGCAGACATGTGGTGAAAAAGCTGCTGATGTACGGGTGAGTCAGCTTAGAGGGTTTTTTTCCCCTTTCTGCAGATGCCTCTTGAAACAGGTGTTTCTATTATTTTGTCCAACCAGTTTAAATGAATTCAGCTAAATATGACAGAATAAACTGCAATGAAGTTCTGCAGTAGATAAGTGTAATCTTAGGTGTATTTATTATTTATGTATTTACTTTCTCCACAGGAACAAAGAGCTGGTGGCAGCAGTGATTAACAGGTTTAAAGGTCACGTGCGACAGATGCTCCGGCACGCCGCTGCCTCGTCCATCATCGAGTATGCGTACAATGACAAAGCGGTGCTCGCACAGAGGCTCATCCTTACAGATGAGCTATACGGCAACACCTACACTGTCTGCAAGGTAAACACACACACACACACACACACACACACACACA